AACCAAATAGAAGCTCTGTTTTGTTTGGGAGAAGGGTTGTTGATCACTACACAGTGGGGCTGCAATCTCTCAAGTTGCTGCCAAATATCATCTTGACCCTTCAGAGTGGAAAAGTTGTATCCTGCCTTGAAATCCATAGGAGATGCAACTCTAACACCATTCCTTGAAAGGAACCAAGATAATCCACTGTTTCCATGAAGTAACTCAACAACATCAGGATGATCATCATTACAAAAGAAAAAGGACTGTTCTCCAAATTCGGCATCAACATACAGTTCGTGATCTTCACGTAAGTTCTCCGGATTTTCATCGTCTAATGCCGGTATGGAAACATCATGCCACTCATCGTGATCGCGTCTAACCTTCGACTGATTCACACGTACCACTGCCTTACCAGTGTTGGCTTGGACCATAGCTCCTTCTTGTCCAAGTACTGTGGCACGAACCCAACGTCCTTTATCCTTAAACTTTGATGAAACCTGAGTCCAAACAAAAACCTTCTCTCCTTGGAAATAGGGACCGTCACTTGGCATAGTCCTTCTTGCAAGATCTGCTCGAAGGTCCTGAGCTTGTCGTGCTTCTTGATGAGCTCTCAAAGCCACACGTTGTAGTTCCAGATTTGTACGATCTTGTGCGGCTGCATTAGCTGACAATTGCTCAGGGCTTGCGGTCTCAAGGTCAAAAAGATCTGGTGGACGTCTTCCAGTTGCTATCTCTATTGGTGAATATCCACTGATAGTCAACTGACAATTTCTTGCCCAAACTACCTTCTTGACCACTTCTCTGACCGTAACACCACGAAAACGTGGGTCATCCAGATCTACTTTCATCACATGCCACATACGTTTGAACAAACGTACAGCTGTCTCTGCTCGGTTCGGCCAAGGAGTTCTTGGCCCACAAGGACATTGTTGTATACCATGGAACCTGTAGTATTCAACAAAAGCATCTGTGAAAAAGGCTTCGTCTCCTACGATGGCCTTCGGAACACAGTTGTTCTCATCAGACCATTGCCTCAATGCTTGGATGGTGGTTTGATCTATGAGGTCTTTCTGTGCCGTAGCCCAGAGAAGATTTGTGGCACCATCAAGAACAAGTAGAACGATATACTTGTTCTTGTGAAGTTCAACCTCACAATGATCAGCAAAAACAACATCACCAAAACATGAAGCTCTAATACCGGAGACTCTGGCTCGTGGCGGAGGTGCCACTGAAGTGTTACAAACACGGCAGTTCCTGACAACTGATTCATACTTCTCTAAAACAGAGTCAGGAAGCTTCAACATAGAAACACGCCTACGAAACTGAGTAGGACTCATATGGTAGTGCTTCACATGAAGCTTGTAAAGCTCTACCTTGTCCTCCAGTCTCTGCAACATCTTCCTATATGCCGGTGTCATTGCAACAACTTCACTACCAGGTAATGGGATTGAAATCCGCCTAGGCTCAAGAGCGCCATCACCTGGTTCAAGTGGTTCATGTTTATCACTTGATGGTCCTTTTGATGCTTTAGGAATTTCTACGTTCACCTTCTGGCCTCTCAGGTGGTTCTGAGGGAGAATACTCCTCAGGACCATCACCCTTTAAATCATTTGGAGGCTCAGATGGTTTCAACTTGTGTCCCTTCCAAAATGGATCAAAACCCTTGGATGTATAACGAAACTTTGGCGGCACAGGCTTTTCCGCGGCACTGGATGGTACACCTTCCTTCTCTGAAGAGAAGCCTGGTTCCCTGTCCTTTGCAATGGGAACCTTCTCTGAGGAGGAGCGCACCACTGCATCGGGATCACCAATGCCACGGTGCTCAATGCCAGCCTTCCTGATCTTTAGATCTGGAATTTTGGCATCTGGCTTGAACTTAAAAATTGTTCTACCACGCCATTCATAGCCAATTTGTAGGTCCTTCCATTTTGCCTTGCGCCAATCATCTAGCTTCTTGATTTCTTCTCCTCCTTCTTTCTTCTTGATGATTGTCAGTCGCAAGTCTTCCAGTAAGTCAGTGTCTACAGGACAGGACTTAGTTGCTGGGAAAAGAATCTTCCTGTAATCCTTGTGGTGACGTATCAGTTCTCTCTTGTGAACATCTACTTCCCAGTAGTCAACCACAGGATATGCATGCTCAGCTTCATCTTCATCACTATTGTGATCAACAGAAATATGGCCATATTCATAGTGAGTGAAGTGAGAGTAAAAACTCTTCTCACGCCGAGTCTGCAAACGCACGTCAGACAAATACCATGCAATATCATGGAAGTCCAAAACAAGATGAGTACTGGCTGCAACCTTCAACTCCAAATGTTTGATACCAAGAGGCACCGATGTCAGATAAGCATGTTGAGGTGTCAGCCTGAGTTCGAAGCCTAAGTTTCTCATCTGTGGCAAGCTCATAAGCAAAGGGACTTCTCCTTCTTCCACTATGTCGAACTCTGTATTGTGGATCGCCCACGCGCGATCATACATGTAAATCACCAGTTTCTGAGAGCAAGAAGCCTTCTGAGAATTGGCAAAGTAAAACTTGCTCTTGGTAGCCTCAAAGGAGTACCATAGTCCACAATTTGGGTGACTGTCGACATAGTTGCAAAAATAATCGACTGCACGCCTTGATCCCATAGCTCTAGTGCATCCAATGTCCAGGATTGCAATAGTTGGCGGGAAGCGATTCTCAGTCAAAAATGAAATAGCCTGCGTCTCCTTCACTTCTTCCTCAGCGCTCATAAGCGCAAAGCCATCAGGAGCACTTGTGAGCATCTCCTTTGACAAAGAGTACCTCACAGGGGCACTCATGCCATCGAAGATCATCTCACCATTGTTGACCTTACAGTCAGTTTCATCTTGACATGAGGTCATCATGCCTGACAGCAAGTTCACCTCACTGTCATTGACTTCAGCTGCTGTTGTCACACAATGCGCATAGAAACCTTGGTGGCTTCCTGATGCTTGTGAAGATCTTGAAGGTGCAGGTAAAGAGCGTGGCTGTTGTTGATTTGCATAGTTTGCATCTTGTTTGCCATCTCCTTTATCTTTTCCTTTTCCTTTCTTGCCTTTTCTCTTGCCTTTTCCTTTTCCTTTGTGGGAAAACCATGCTTCTTCAAGCTGTTGCCAAAAGTCATGGGCATCTTCATATTCTCCTTGAAGATAGTCATTCATATCTTCGGCAAGAATGGCATCATATGCTACTTGGTTTGACTCCCAAGTGTCCTCATAAGGATTCTCTTCATAATACTCATCTGGATAAGTTGGCGGTTGCTCATCAGCATAATGGCCTTTACCTCGTTTCTTTCCTCCTTTTCCTTTTCCACGAGGTCTGAAAAATCTGCGGCCTGATCTTCGTTTGCCTTTTCCTTTTCTTCTTCCTTTGCCTTTGCCTTTTCTGGCTCTTCTTCCTTGGAATCTCCTCTGGAACCAAGAGAAATTCTGGTCATCATATACCCAAAAGACATCGTCCGGGCATCAAGAAATCCTTCTGTTCCATCTTCTTCGTCTTCGGCCCAATAGCCATAAGTACCATCGAGTTCTCCTTCTTCAAGCACGAGGAATGATCTTCTACCTCCAGCACCTGTCGGCTGCATCAAAGGATTGTCTACTGAAGTCTTTGTCGTGCAGAACATCTCAATAAAAACTGTCCTCAACTCTGCTGTGGTGTATTGCTGCAGGACCCTACCACGATGAGTCATCAAAGAGGTCAAAGTGTTCCTCTGGTCCTGAGACAAATCTGCAAGTGACAGCATGAGTAAGGCAATGAGATTTTCTCCCAAAGGAAAATCGTTCTGATGAAAAGTTCTCAAGTTGCCATTGATATTCTGGATGATTTCCTGAATTCTTTCCGCAGTTGGAGCTACTCCATTCACCACTGCATCAGCTTGCATCTGAGCTTGTACCTGAGGATGTGCTTGTGTTACTGGCTCCAACATGTCCATCCAACTGCTCATAAGCCTTTGGAGTAAAATCTGAAATCTTGTCATCCATTTCATCATGTCAGCTGATCCGCGATTGAAGCGCACGAATTGCATAAACCTATACAGGAATACGTTGGTTGCTCCTTTCACAAAATATGGTCGTAGTACTCGTTTGAAATAATCTGCTCCAGCTCCTGGTGGATCATTCGCCTTCAAAGCATCTCTGTCTAGAACACGTTTGTAAACAGCTGCTTCTCCTTCTAATCTGTTCCTTAATGCGGGTCCTCTCTTCTCATCCTCCAGCTCGGTGATATCGCGCCAATCATCTATGGCATCCTCATAGGAAAACCATGAAGTCTTTCCATCATAAGATGGGGGCACCTTTGTAGTGGCCTGTGTTGTCATTGCTATAGCTGCTGGTTCTCTTCTCACATGCCTATTCACATAGGCTGCTGGCTCATAAGCCACATCCGCATCAGGCTCTTCCCAGTCGTCAATCCAATCCATGGCCGGTTGCCTAAAAGCAAGTCTATGCCTAGGAAAGGAGCTCACCTGGGTCTTCCAGGATCACTGCTCCGCTACCACTGAAAGAGTGACTAGGGCGTACACGGTTGAGGTGCAGACCGCTAGTGTCTTTTATGCGCAGAGTCTTATCCTCTTGAGCCTTATGGCAGTCAAGCATGGACACACTAGATAGGCCACTGGAGTGGAACCTGTACAAGTAGGCCTCTACATTTCAGGGGGCCCCCCCCCTGGATCAAATCCCCCCTGCGCCGGTTCACGCCGTCGTGGACTTCTACCAGGGTTACTTGTGATTGCCTGCTACCTTTCGTTCACCCCCCCCTCTCTCAAGTCAGAAAGAAAGAATTCCCAGAGCAGGGAGCCACGGGTCTTGCATGGTCTTGCTGATTTTTACTCTTTTGCAAAGAGGCCAAGAATCTTGGTTTGGTGAAGTACTCACAAAAGCTTCAGTAAAGTTATCTAGTTTGGGGGGGCCATTGGGCACATCGATGACAACATACCTGCACAGCCCTGAGACAGCTATTCCCCTCTGGGGTTTTCTCAGTGTGCTTGGACCGTTCTCATGAATGAAAAAGAATCCATATGTTAGTGGCCGGGGAGCCACCGACGATTCCACAACTGGTGGCGGCGGAATCGGGTGTTTACCCGCCGAGTATGCTGGATGCTACTTCGCGATTGTTTGGAGACCGGAATCTGAAGGAATTGGAGAGTCAGAAGTGGCAATGCCGGGTGCAGCCCTGTAAGTTGGCCTAAAAGGGCAAACCCATGTCACTCGACTGTGTTTGCCGCCCACGGTTTCTTCACTGTCCAGCAGGTGTGTCCCGGTTGAGTCTCGTAAGTCTCGGTGCGAATCCTGCCGTCGGTCGCTGCTCACCTTGGTCGATGGGAGGTGCTGCAGCCGCCTTCTACCCCGCGAGCGGGTGGTGTCACCTCTACGACCAGTGCGCCTTGGCGGAGCTGAACCGAACGAACGAGCAAGGGCAAAAGGTTCCCAGAGCAAACTCCTGTGGCACCTCCCAGTGTGTTTGGTGGTTTGATCGAACACAGTTTATACGTCTTGATCCACATCATGTCCCTACTGAAAACCTCCTTGGAGACTTCGTAGTATCTACCTGCCATACCGGCCCAAGACAAAACCCCGCTTTCCACGTGGCAAGCAATTCGGCAGTGCTGCTCAGGCGACTCCATGGAGATGGAGAGCACCGCTGTCAACCTCGTCCCCGAGGTGGCGGCTGTGCCTGTGCATGTATGGTTCAGGAGAAAGACATCTAGACATGTCTGGACAATGGTTTTGCGGTTGTGCTGGGTGTGTCTTTATTTACATATAAGTTATATAATGGTTTCTATACTCGTACAAGTGACGAGTGGTCTATGTCTCTATGTCCCATGTGGTCACTGTGGTCCCTTGGGTGGTCGCCACCTTCACACCACTCCACAACGCAGTGTTCGGCTCGGCGACCGCGGCGCGAGGCGACGAAATGGTGCAAGGGCACGTTGGTGGAGGAGTGGGACTGTGACAAGGCCGGTGATGTTCCGCGGTGGTTCGGGTGACGGAGTCGCCATCGTATCATCGTCGCCTGTTTCAAGCCCTTGATTTCAAGGGCCAACGGGGGCCATAGATGATGAGTCATGGGCCATTGGTTCACTCCAGATTTATATGGTTTTTGCCTCGGTATGGGATGGTTTGATCCAAGATGTATGTGGATGCAGTCCCATGGCTTTTCTTTTAACGGTTGGGAGGTGGGTTGGAGATGGTCTCGGTATAGACTCACCCCGCTTGTGTTTAATTCATCTCACCCATCGCAAGTCTAGGCTCACTTCATGCACTCCATCGACCGACCTTGCTTCGTCCGAGGTGGATCCTGACAAATGCCAGGACTCCTACACCAGGAGACAATGGGATCAGAAAGGGAACTGGTTTGGGTGGGATTTGGTTTGGTGGTGGGATGTGACTATTCGCTGAAAGTAGAGTGAATTGCTTTGCTAAGGCGGAAAAAACACCCTGCAAACGTGAAGCAAAGGTGTCTTCCGGCTGAGCCCAGGTGGTCCTGATTCATGATTGTTGGAGAGGATGAGAGACCCCCAAATAGATAGAAACATCAATCCCTACTAAATATGTTTTGGACAGACAGTGTTTCTATCTATTTGAGGACCAGACTATTTGAGGACAGCGTTTTTCTCGTGTTTTCTCCTTTCACTTCGCGTCAGGAGCTTCGATGGTCACTACTTTGTGCAATGCTCGGTGACCAGCAACGGTCAGTGCCTCGCGGGCGGCGGGCTGTGCAAAGAGCCGCTTGGTGAAAACCACGCCGCCCACGACCCGGACGGACGCACGCCCTCGGACCTGGACGCACACGGCGACCTGGTGCAGGGGACAGTCCTGAATTTCGAGCGCTTGGTGCAGGGGACTTCCAGATGTTTCCAGTCTGTTCTTCCAGTGATTTCAAGCAGTTGAGTGTGGAGCTTGGAGCCCGCCCGGCGGGTCCCTTCCGTTTTTGAGCTTGGAGGACCCATTGACTGTAGGCGGGCGAAAAAAAAGCGGACCCATTCAATGTCAAAGGACTCATCCCAGGACCCCCAAGGGGTGGTTAATGGACACCCCTTAACAGCTTAAGGGGGTATAAATAGACACCCCTTGGAGGGTCCTGGTCCCTTTCCTTCAGTGTTCGAACCGGTGTTTTTTCACCGTCAGCTCACTTGGACGATTTTCTTTTAGGATTTCCCCCCCACCCCACGAAAAACAAGACACCATGCCGTGCTCAGATGTAATGGCGGTGCGTTGTTCGGAGGAGACGACTATAGGGGGAAGCTCCTGACCTTGGGACCGGGCCCGGTCAATACCCAGACCTTGGGACGTGATGTCCTGCGAGACTCTGCGTTGCCAGGCCCTCCCAGGCCGGCCGGCACAGGAAAACCACACCCTCCGACGAACACTGAACACATGGAAATGGACCACCTCGGTCTTCACGGGGAGCCATTTTCGTTAGTGAGTCGGAGTCTGACAATAATCCAGGTCCATGGCGCATTCTTTTGGTGATATGGTGGTCTTCAAAAATCCATAGACACGATCTCCTTCGATTGGTCCGATTGGTGATTCTCACGCGGGCTGCCTTTTTGATCACTCAAGAGAAGGCTTCGGGACTTCCCCCTACTTCCGGAGGTGGGTTTGATGGCCAGGACTGGCCAGGTTGTGATTTGGTGTGAGGTTTTGTTGTAAGAAGTTGTGGGAACTTTCGACTTTCAGTTGCAGCTTAACATGGAACCCCCAAAATCCGTCTGGGTTGGTCTCTCACCTCGTTGACTCAGGAAGTGAGCGGCCTCCACCGTGCTGGGCAAGCGGCGCGACCGATTGGTGTTTAGAGCGACCAGAGCGGTTTGGTCAGTGTCCACCAACCTGGTTGGCGGAAAACAAATAGTAAAGGTGTGAGTTTTGACACATGCCGGATTTGTGCGACAATGCGTGTTGCTCTTGGTGATGCGTATTACGCCAACGGAACAAGATTTTGGAGAGGTTGAGGTGGCTGCAGCAGGTGTCCATATAATAGACAAAGATCGATTAAAGGACATGGTAGACAGCAGTGCAGGCACATGCCGCTATTCCGCAAACGTTTCCTGTCTGCGACGACGGGACGTGGAGAGAAAGGAGCGTGGCGGCTGTTTGGTACCAGGGTACGCAGGATTTGAATTGATGCGGCCAAAAGAACGTTTGTTTCTCCTCTCTACCAGCAGGCTCTTTTTGGAGGGTGCGTATGACCCAAAGGTCGCACTTCTGAATCGCTTGGGTGGTGTTTTCTGAAAGGTAGCAGCTTCCAACCAAACTCTGCTTCGCAAAGCTTTGCTGGGGGGACCTGCTTGCGCCGCATTGGTTCCGCAACCAGGTCTAGATTCTAGACACCTCTTTCAGTGTACCCGCCTCCGCGTACCCTTGGACGTCCCACATCCTGGGAACCGGGAACGTCAACAACCAGACGCTCACCCCGTGGCCATGCCTTCTCCATGTTAGACCCCGGAGTCGAAGGGGTCTCAAGATGTCGTGATACGCACCAAGGGGCCTAGGCCCCAAGTGCTACAAGACCCGAGCCGACGCAGCGGGCGGTCACCAAGGGCTACAAGCCACGTCTCACAAGTCTGAAAAGCCTGCAAAATCGGGGAAGGCCATTTTTTGGGGCGCTTTGGTGCACCTGAGAAATCGGTGAATGAACACCCTTTGCGTGGGGCTCCTCAATTGGAGAACACAACTTGAGATCTTTGAGATGCTCATTGCCTCGGGGAATTCGGCCATATTCAAGGTACTTCTTCTTGTTTGGTTCGTGTACGTGTTCGAACGTGGTACCAACGTGTGAGCCACGGATGTCCGGCAAAAGGGACGTACCTGGTGGCAGATTTTGAGCAGCTCCATGTTTGGGAGAGAGAGAGAGAGAGAAAGCACGCGAGCGCGTGTATGCAAAAGGCCCCCAAACACTTGTGTTGTTTGAGACCAGCCTGATCACCTTTTTTCGCACTTCCTTATTTTTCCGCATACCTGGTTGTCGGACCCGCCGTGCTCGATTTGGCGCCGGAGTCGCCCAGTCCGTTTCTCTCCTTTTTATAATGCTCCAAGTGTTATCCAAGTAAACAAAACGGACTCCAAGTAGTGTTCTCGAAGTAGTGTTCTCTACATTGGACTCCTTTTGTAGAACATTTTGGAAGCGTACCTTTTGACGCCATCCGATGCGAGGCATCCGACGCAGCGAGGCATCCAAGCGGACGGTGCGTGTCAGGGTCTGGACATTGACCCCATGAACAGGGATCTGCCGTCCAGCATTTGACGCCGCTTTGTTGAATGTATCAGGAGAATAGGAATAGAGAAACAAAGAGCACTTCGCAATGCAGTAGTAGTGGTCTTTGACTCTTTGACATGATATGGTTTTGCTCACTTATATAAAGCAACCAATAGAAACAAGAAGGCCAATGAAAACAACAGCAGGACAAAAACACAGAGCCAAGACCCAAGCAAGAAACAGAAACAACGACACGAGAATATTCTAACCACCAAAACGACAACCTAGAAACAGAGAGAAGACACATGAGGAAAGACACACCATAGATACATAAAATAGATACCATAGCTCGTTAATTCAGTTGCCAAAAGAAACACATCAACCTCAGCCACTTCAATCTCAGCTCTGCTTCAATGCACTGAGTTGGCCGGTTCGCCCGGAGAAACCGGCGCCCGCGTCCTCGGCGAAGCCGGATGTCACAGTGAGCCCGAAGACCTCAGCCGGCGCGACACGAACGGCCCGTACTCCGTCCATGGCCTGTGGAGTACCTAGTAGTAAGGCCAGGAGCCCCTAGTAGCTAAATAAGACAATATATACTGTAAAACATATCCAAAGAAGGAGCCTTGAATTGTTTGTGAACACCACTGGTTTTGATCGTGTTTCTTCCTTTTTTTCGTGTGTGTGCGCGTGCTGTATGATTTACAGTATGGGTTCTGTGTCGTTTCCGTAATTTTCCAACCTGTGTGGACACATTATATATAAGATGTCGAACCTCAGTGCCCTGGAGTATTGACCTTGGGACCGAGAGTAAAAGCATACTATGTATATACAGCATACACATATCCAATGAAAGGTGTACAGCTTGGACTCAGAGACATTCGTTGTGCCCAAAAACTTGTGAGGCAATGCTTCGATTGGCCACTCGCCGGCAGCAGATCGCGGAAATATGGGGCCAGCAAATTCCTGACGTTTCCAACTTTCTGGGAAGGAGGAAGCGTGTCTTCCATGCGGGTCGTGGGTCTTCCCAGATTCCTGGAATGACCTGTTCAGTCGATCGGAAGAGCGAGCTTTGAGCGCCACCGGATTCTATGGCCGTTTGCAAGGTCTCGGTTCAGGCTGTGGCCCCCGTAGCAAGCCTGGCATCAAGACCAGTTGGCCCTGCCCCCACACTCCACTTCAACTCATGTTCCATGGAAGTGGACAACCCTTGGTTCCACAGAAAACGATGGACACCATCAAGCTGTATAACACCTCAAGACCTGGTCCCCTGTAGATCACCACCACCAAGACCTGGTCCCCTAAGGCCATCTAAGGCCCCTGGAGGGCAAAACGGTGCGTCGCATGCGGATTCCGCTGTGCAAGATCTGACTCTAAGTCTTCGCACGCCCGCCCCCGTCTGGGCACGGGTGCCCTGTGACCTTGTCTACGGAGCGCATGCACTGGATTCCGTTGCCGCACCATCTGAATCTTCCTCCAGACCAGGTAGGTTGGGATCTTCGCTCGTCCAGATCGCGCCGTCCGGAAGCGTGGTTGCGCGCACGTCGCCGGGGCGTCGCATGTGTCGTACCCGCTGCTCACTGGTTGAGTCTTTGGGTGATTTTCCGCTCCTCCAGCAGCTTTGAGGTCGGGGTGCTCCTGGCGCTCGCGCGGGGGGAGGCAGGTTTGGTTCTGGAGAACATGGCAGGGGTTCTAGAGGGGTGTTTCTTAGAGCGGAGGGATACTCCTTACATCTCCTTACTACTAGGAACAAGAAGCTACTAGGACCTAGGAGCAAAGGGCATCGCTACGAACGGAGCAAGGGCGCTACTATATAGTAGCTCCTGGCCTTACTAGGAGCAAGAAGCTACAAGGAGCAAGAGGCATCGCTACGAACGGAGCAAGAAGCTACTTTGGCACTCTTGGATTTTGCGAGTTCTCTTGGTCCAACGGTTGGACACAGGGCGTAAAGCACTCACCCGTCACTGCGGCAAAAAGGGGGGGTCCGTTGAAGCGGTCGCAGTCCGAACAAAAGGTCCACCGCCATCCGGTCCCCAAATAGGTCTTGAATGATCCGCAGTTGGAAAGTGTCTTGGAAACCGTGCCATCTGGTCCTCTATTTGGGGATCCACCGCCATCCCCACCGTGATCCGACGTGGTGAATCAACCGAAATTCCAGTCCGCGGTCTCCCGCGGAACTCGCGTCTCCCGCTGGAGATCGACGATGGCGCCCATCCGCGGCGGCTCACGACCTCAGTGGCGTGCAGGACCGGCAGTGGTGGCCGGGCCGTGGCGGGCCGGGGCAGCGTTTGGGCTTTTGGCCGAGTGTGGTTTTGGTGGTGCACCAAGAAAAGAAGAGAGGACCATCACCCAAAGTCCAGGTTGACAGAGAAACCAGTGGCAGGAGTGTTGCATCCCTCACTTGGCGGGTGTGCGGGTTGGGGTTGAGGGATGCCGAGCAGATCCGGGAGATCTCCTGACCGAGATCGCGCGGCCGGAATCGGACGAGATCCGGCCGGTCTCCGCCAGGGAGGCTTTGGAGGACATGCTGAGGCATGAGTGGCGTGGTCGGCACTGCGGGGGAGTGCAGGGCCCTGGTCGAAGAGTTCCGGGTTTCGGATTCATCAATCGATTCATATTCATTCAGCATCTTTCTGGTGGGGAAGCGTGGAGATGTGAACGGTGTGGGTTTCCGGGCTTGACCATGGGAATGGCCACCAAATCATGTTTCTTTTTTGCTAAGATGCCCGCCGTATAGATATGATATGGCCACTACGACAGTGGTCTGGTCGGAGCATCCTTGCAACTCACCCGTCAGTCTCGAACAAAGCCCCGCACTACTATAGACACTCCAGACATACCCAACAGTGTGGCAGGACCAATATACTGTAGACCTCAAGGGACTTTGAGTTTTCAATACTTCCAGGGTGGTGCCAGATTTGGTGGTGCATCTCGAACGGCTTGGCCAAAAGGAAGGCCCTAGCAGTTAAAAGAGCTAGGTACCTCCCTTGTGAGTGGAGCATACCACCCTCGCCCCTCCAGTCCAAACGGCCCGCCCTCCCTTCCCCGAACCCCGAACGCCCCCGCGCCACGCCGGAACGGCCTGGGGGGACGGCTCGACCGAGGAATTGGATGTACGTGAACAACTCCCAAACTCGCTGGTGCCGCGGAGGGGGGAGTGAGCGGGGTGTGGTGGGGAGGCGCGCCACGAGCCTTGGTTTCTACGGTGCCTTGGAGCCTTGGATCGACGTTGCGGGGGTTTGAAAGAAGCAATCACCATGGTCTGAGGGTTCTACCTTTTGACCATTTTTTGACCCAATGATTCTATGATTCTATGTATTGTCAGCTCGAACACCCGTGAAAAGACTTGCTGTACTCGACGTTTTAGCTGAAGGATTCCACCCGCCCTGCCTGTCCAGGACGTGTTGCTTGGTAGTAGAATTGTCTGAGAAAAGCAGACTCAGATCCTCTAGCCACCCGGCAACACCTCCATGGAACTCTCGCATGGGGAGCCCCGCGCAGAAAAACCCGCCCCCGAACCGGGTTCGGCCGGCGCCGTGGGGTTCTCCGAGTCGGTGTTGGGAGGTGTAAACTGCGATTGGAGAACACCATGGCGACGTGTTGCAGGCCCCGGGAAGCAGCCGACGTGTCAGCCGACGTTTGTTTGCAAAGCCTCAGATCTCAAGCCAACATCAGAGGACTGTTCTTTGGGATTCTGTAGCCAGTTTAGCCCTGACATGGCACGAAATAAGAAACCCAACAAAGCTTTTGACGCCCAATGCCCAACGCGCCAGCTTGCATGCTGTCTTCCTTCACCAAAGACATCAGAAAACCAGACCTGTGATCGGCCGACCGACCGACCATACCACGACCTGCTGACCCCTTCGTCCCATTGCCCTGCCGGTGTTCTCTCCAACCCCTCGCGCCCGAGCGCCGTCGCGCCCACGGTGAGGATCGCGAACTTCGCGCAGGGCCGGGGGGAGGATTGCTCGGGGCGGGGATGCCTGGATCTGACAGGAAGGTGAGGATTGGATGGAATTGGCCACTTGGGGAGCTCTATGGGTTTGATATTGAGCCAAAATTGAGTTATCGTCGCCTCTCTCTTTTGGAGTGGAAAGATCGCCAGCATTCTGCACTGTAGAGATGACTTCATTGAATCCAGGCATTGCAAGTGTTGAGAGAATCCTTTGGGATACGATACGATACATTGAGAGACAATCAGACAAACCCCTGCGTTTTTGGGGTTTGTGGGGTATCCGGTTTCCAGGGGCTGGTGGATTTCAACCAACGTCCTCAGACATACTTGTGCGCATACAGACCCAAGATTTGCATGGATCTGTGAATATGACTTGGGCGAGTCTCAGAAACGCCAGCAAAAGAACACATCGGTTTAGCCGTCTTACCCAACATACCGACCCGTTGCGGTTTTGATGGACACTCCACTCCACTCCCTTCCCGAAACGACCCATTTCCGCAGGTCATAGTTGTTGGCACCTGGAACTCTAGCAGCTGATGAAGGAACTCAACTCCTCAGGGACCTCACCCGACCCTTTTCCAGTGCAAACACGCCAAGCAGTTTGTGAGTGCCCACGTTTTCCAACACCGCCGTGGGTGCTTCATCCTTCAGCTCTGCCGACGACCGACGACCGACGACCGATCCCTAGAAGTCCAACAGACCAAGTATTGGCACCACCCAAATGCGAAGCATTTTTCCCCAAACAGTTTACTGTTAGGGCGTTCTCAATTCTTTCTTAAGATGTGTCCCCCTTTTTCCACTACGGTGGTGTGATTAAAGGTCTTGGACTTTCAGGGCAACTCTTCCAGAACTGAGAAGCGTGGACTGGATCTTCACGGCTGGAGGATCACACCGGTCCTTCCGGGACGGGTCATTCCTTTCGACGTTCGACCCCGACCCCATCGGTGGAGCCTCGGCCCGTGGTCCGGACCTCCTCCGCCGATATATAGACCGATGGCTTGGAACCTGCCCCAGGTGCGTGAGCTCCTGTATCCACCAGAACATGGTGACGCTGTGTGAAAAGGACTTTGGACAGGCGCCGCACACGACGCCTTCCGAGCGGTAGGATTCGCGGTAGGCCCGCGGGGACACCTTTTGGAGTCCGAAACGAGCCGGTCGGCGGGTGGGACGAAGGAGTCGAAAGCGGAGGGTCGGAGGGTGTCCTATCGCTCTGAACGTGTCTACCCGGTTTGATATCTGCAAAGACTATCAAAAGAATGGTCATTGGGTGACCCGAGTTCAGGCATTTCCCTTAACTTCAGTCCGTCAAAATAGAGTCTTTGGACTTCTAGGCTACATAGGCCTATAGATAGAACCTCTTCCTTGCGCCTGCCCGGACTGCTCGTGAAACACCTGGGAGGAACTTTGTCGGTTCTTCCTCTCTGAATTGGAAAAGAAAGGATGTTTCCAACTCGTGCTCCGCTCTGGATCTGAGGCTCCCACCTCCCAACCCCGTTGGCCGCTCCGGTGGAGTGCTTGGTTTCAGCGCTGGCCCGGTTGGCGCCCGGGTCGGCGCCCGGCGAGCGGTGTCCGCGCCCGTGCCAGGCGTGCATCGTGAAGCGGAAGCCCTTCTTCCGCACCGGCGCTCCGGAGTTGGAGGCCGCTCCTTCTCCGGGTCCCGGTCGACTGCGGGCAGCGTCGGGTGAGTGGGACGTTCCGGCCCCACCAGACCCGCCGTTTTGGTCTCCATGGCTCCAGATTCCGCCGAAAACTACCGCGCCACTTGGATCCCCCCCCGAAACATTCCAACTCTTTCGTGCCGAACCATGCGGGGGGGGAGGTCGGACCACCGCGGGGGGGGGGGCCCAATCGGCGATCCCTCGTATGACGCCTCCGTTCTCCGTTGTCCAGACTTTCTTCGGTCGGCCAGGTGCACGAGACCTTTTGCGTGCCCAAAGAGTGCAACAACGGTGCTGACAGGCGCCCCGGGTGAGTCTTCTGTGGGTGGCACTGGTGAAGGCTCCCGTCATTGGCACCGGTGCCCACGGGGACCAGCGGCAGTGCGGAACCGGAGCGATCCTGCCATGGCTGCATGGCGTCAGCCGTGCGCGGACGAGCGGTGCTTGGGTGAGCACGACTCGAACTTGATCCTGGTCCCATCCTTCAGACCCTGTGGAGCAAGAACAGCCCTGAACTTTGATTGTCAACACCCCCAAGAGATGATTGGGTGAGTTTTTCCCCACATATCGATTTGAGCGGAGCTAAAATAAGGCCTGCTTACAAGAACGATTCAAGAACTCGATCCTGTATATTCAAGGCATTCGTTGGTCTCAGTCTGAAGCACTTCGAGAGGAAGAACATGGGTCCAATCGACCCTTCGAGAGGTTCAAACATGTTCAAACCAGTAGCGAAGAAGTTCCAGCAACATGTCCATGACGGAAGCACACCTGCAGAAAAAGAAGATAGATAAAACAGGATAAAACAAATGGTTGGGGCCACACAGAATCCACCTCTGTGTTGGGACCTCTTCCCTCTCCCACACTGCCACGCACGTGGTTCAACCCCTCTGGGTTTGCTTCGACGGTTCGACGGGATCAGGGATGCCTTGGTCGCGTGGTTTGCCGCCTACTACGCTTGGGGAGCCTGGTGTTGGACGGCCCTGAGTGGGCGCAGCTCAGGGAGGGTTTTGAGGGTTACCCGACAGGAGCCGGTTATTGGATGTTTGCGGCTCGGAAGGTCTATTATTGTTTATTGGCTATAGACTATAGATCTATAGGTTTCGAGCTTTTGAATTCCCTATAGTTTTGGGGTTTGAAAAAGGGGTTGCGAGCCACTGGTGGGTGGTGGCACCCTTCACTGCGCCAAGGCAAAAGCTCTTGCCTGTCTTCACTCAGTTTTTCACCCCCGGCCGTCGAGGACGGTCCGTGCACCCAGGTGGCACGGCGAGATGGTTGGCACATGGACTACGACGAGGAGCGGTGGGGCCTGGGCACCTCCTCAGCACTTTTGGTTCATGAAAGTTCTGTTTCTTTTGAGCACGTCTACAGAAATCACCGTCTCTGGTGGCTCTCCCAGTTTGAAGGACGTTTGGGGTGCCCTCAAACGAGGGCCTCGACTTCGAGAGGGCGGACCCTCCCGACCCTCCCGACCCTCCCGACCCTCGGCCAGGCCGTGCTGGAATGCACCAGCGGCGTCGTGACGGCGATCATTGGCGTCTCGGCGTGGTCCCGATCCGGCGGAACCGGACCACCGGCCGTGGGGGGGGGGGACAACGGGAGGCAGGAGAAGGGGAGGGTCGAATCGCAGAGATGCCAATTCCTTTTTTTTCGGGTGGAAACCTGTGGGCGTTTGGGCGTTTCCGGTGTGTTTGGGAGTTTTTGGCAGGATCAGAAGCGAGATGGATGGTGAGGGGGAGGAGTCCTCATCAATTCCCCTCCCGTCGCACGCTCGCTCCGCTCCGCTCAGTTACCATCACGGTGATCGCCGGGGGGCCACGGGCGCGCGCGCGCGCGGGGGCGGAGACCGAGCGCCGGGCGTCTAGGCGGTCCCGACATGGAAGATGGAGGTGTTGGTCCTCTGCACCCAGGCTTTGGGACGCTTTCAACAGTGAATGAGAGCCGAAGCTACTTGACTTCGCCATAGAAGTGAACGTGTGTATTGATAGGCGAGGTCATTTTGGCTTCAGCTTCATGCACGGATTTCGTTGGATTGTGTGGTTTTCACCTTTTCTTCAGCCTGAGCGAAGCAATTGTTTGGTCCGCTGGGCTGGGGCCCATTTTTGGGACAACGATCCTGGACCCAATATGGCTGTCACCGTCACCTGAGACATGCAAGAATAGCCTCCCCTAGTCTTAAGTTTTTACCTTCAGCTGGACCAAAACACCAGTGGACCAGAACACCAAATCAGCTCTTGATATAGAGTCTCTAGACTCTACCACTCTCGAGTGGCCTGGGTTAGGTTGGCTCATCTCTAGCTGCAAGACTTTTCCCTCAAATTCAGGTCTGCATCGTCTCATGCATCCCCATCTCCATCTTCCTCTTCAAGCCGAGATCTCAGTGGTCTTTTCCTCGCCAGAAGAGGAAGAGAACAGAAGAGAACAGTTTTTGGCCCTCTGGACGTTGGGGAAGGATCGTTCGAGAACACTCCGCCGATGAGGGTGATGTTCCGCCCGAGGAAGCCGGTGAGGTTTTGTTCTTCGGGCATTGGAAACCAAAAGGACGGCAAATACCTCACCGGAAGGTGTCTGATCATGCTGAGATCCACGCTTAACAGCCGGTGACATGTCTGAATCTTAGAGACACGTCCCTCCAGCTTTCCGAGTCTCGATTTGGAGTCTCGAAGGCACAAAAAGGGGCTGACCCAAATTCTTCAACCTCACTTTTTAAAGTCTATAGTTTTCATACTGGTCTTACTATGTCTTACTACTAGTCTTCATATAGTCTTCAACCTTCAGTCGCTGCGTTGCTCTGTTCCCCCCTTCGCTCCCGGATCCGCCGCCGACGCACGTCCACGTGGACGAAGCTCGTCACGGCCGCTCCTTTGCTCGCAGGGCTCCCAAGGAGCGAGGGCGCACGCTCATCTCCCAAGAGCAAATGCAGGTGCGCACGGACTCCGCGCGGGACGCGGGAAACGCGGGAAACGCGCGGACTGAACATGGCATGTTTTCTTTTCTATTGTTTGGTGTGTGGATGGGGTATGATGGGGTCCGGGGGTTGTGGCAGCGTGAAACAGATTTCCGGAGACAGAGGATGCTTGGGGTTGATGGAGATCTCGATATTGTGGGCATCCCAAGCTGGAGGCAAACTGCCGGTGGATATATTCACTGTAGTAGTATAATGGTGTATATATATATATATAGATATATAATGACACGTCTAAAGTTAGGCCCAAACACATGGCCGATCCGCACACAATCCCCAGTAGCAACAGGATGCAACAGGTCTTGGGGGCACAGTAGCCCAGCTTGACCCGCTATGGATGTCGTGACCGAGATTTAGAGGTACCATGCGTCTGGTGCAGCCTGAAAGTTCGGGTCGGTTGGCATGTGTATCAAAGAATGAAAGGATCTATACTACTGAGCCCCTAGTAGCGTCCTTGCTCCTAGTAGCGATGCCCTTTGTTCCTGGTAGGGTCCTTGTTGTAGACACTGAGATGTATTGCTTCACTCCGGGGATCCTCTCTGGTCTTTTGTAGTGCGCCATTGGTCTTCTCTCTGGTTTGGTCGTGGCTTCGTGGATCCACCAGGCAGAGTCGATGCGCGGCGATGAGGACCCACCAGATGTGGGGGGTTCGGAAGGAGGGGTTTTCATGGCGATGCCGGCGGGGGTGAATGTGCTGAGTGCTGAGGTCTTGGTTTTTCAAGCAGGAACATCATATGCGCCAGCAGTGTCAACTGCAGGTTCTTTTCAAGACCCATCCAGTGAGTGAGATGTTCTGGGCACCCACCCCTGGTGCCGGAACTCCTGGGTGCCTGCCAGCCGCTGAAGCGACGAGCCCCCGCCGGCGCTACGGTCAGAGCGCGACCAAGGGGTCGAAGCGGCAAGATGTCGGGACAGGGGGAGTGGTGCTGATGGCGGAGGTAGGGAACGTCCCGGAGGCCTTTAGGAGGGAAAGCTAGGGAAAGGGTACTGTATCTGCGGGTTTGGGGAGCGAGAGAAGCGGTGGTCTGCAGACGTCCTGATGAGATCAATTCAATGACACACACAAACAAAGACAAGGATGAGTCCAGGATGAGTGACATTCTTCAAAGAGAGGGTGCAGTGAAGAACCGCCTCGTTTAATGCGGAGATGAAGCTCGGGCTCGGGGATTCGTCTCGTTTTGGGAAACCAGGAAGGAACCGTTGATCTGTCAGACAGAGAGCTTGAGCGGGAGTTCACGAGGTCGCGTTTCTAATGCTTCAGCAGCTGTGCAAGAGAAGTTCCGGGTCTGCAGACCTTTGTATGTGTAAATATTTTGATTATAGATATATTCTCAATTTCTCTCTCCCTGCTATTTTTGTCCTCCCGGCGGGACTGCCCTTCCAGAAGAAAGAAGAGGAAACGTTGCACACGTAACTCGCAGTGCACAGTGGCTTCGCGACATCGTGGCAAGACACACGCAACACAACTTCGGAACCTTTGCGGTGAATGGGAGGAACCTCCCATGATGATCCAGGATCCCTGCACTGCATCGGCAGGCGGCTGGTTTTGGAACACACGATTAGACTCATTTTAGAGCACATGATAACAATTTGGAACACAGTCTCTAAAATAAAGCGTCTCTACACTATAGATACATATTCAAGGACAGGACATAGAAACCCGGTGTATGGTCGGTTAGTTAGTAGATTCATGTACATTCTCTCCCACCCAAGTTGTGTGTTGGTCTCTACAAACAGGTGATTTTCCACAGACGTCCATGATTATTCCAGGGAGGGTCGGGTCAAAGAACACTAGCTGAGCCGCTGAAGCTGAGACGAGTGATCCGTCTCGCCGCTTCGATGGATCGGAGGACATGGATGGCACGCTCCGCAGCACTGCGGGAGGTGGTTGAGCCGTTGGTGGGGGGAGTTGGAGTGAGTGGTTCGGTCCACTTGAAGGAACATGCCGGTTGGGTTGGGGTACAATATGTGGTCAATTTTCATTGGGGCATTGCAACTACAGTTACATCATCATACGTCATACATCCACAATTTGTTTTGGTTTTGTATTCGACTTTGTCAACTCGGGCATAATATGCGTTGGAATCCCACTAGCCAGGGATTGTGTCTTTGCAGCCCTCTCACCATGGGGTTTGAAGTACTGGACTTGGGATCTGCCACCACCTTCCCACTTGGATGCGAAGCTATCCCGGCGTTCTGAATTGGACCCAGAAGATTCCGTCGGCCAGTCTCCTCGTCAGTCACTTCGCTCTTCGATTCCAAGTCACCCATTCTTTGAGCCAAGCTCCTGGAATCGAAACACCACCACTTCCGGAGCTTGAGCTGGCGGAGGCGGTGACACCATGGGCAGCTCGGGCATGGGCGCGACCCGTTGAGCGTGCGCCGATGGGGATGGCGCCAAGAGGTGGTAGCTCAGATGTAAGGATGATGGGTAAATGGGATCCCTCAAAATGAAAAAGACCGTGGTCCGTGACCGATGGTGACACTGCAATTTCTTCAAGTGATTTGATGTGTATGCTTTTTCACTTGCAGAGGTGCCTGTGGGTCACCTGCTATAATAAACGGGTCAAACAAATGGTCTATTGGGTCCTTTCCAGATGCAAAGTGAGGGAAGGCACTTCTCTCTCTCCCGCAAGCTTCGGTCACTGGAAGCTTTCCGTTAATTGGGCGCCAGCGCTGATCTGATGAAGGGATTCTGCACCAATTGGGTTTGCGCAGCATTCAGCATTTTGTGGCTTGGGGGGTAAGGCAGGATAGTTGGATGATGTTGGATGCGACCTCGACCTTAGTGAGGGTTATGCACAATACTCTTCTTAGGTGGTTTCCAAAGTAGATCAAAGTAGCAAAGTCCCCACCTGATCAAGAAAGGGTCATTGCCCAACACCCTTACTGTGATATAATGGATTAGAACTGCTCCACACTATAACGGAACTGCTTCAATCCACTACATAGTTTGGTGCTTCGATCAGAAGTCCCCCTTCCATTCTGTGCGCCATTCCGTGTATGTGAACCACACGCGTTGTCGGCCGGGTCGGAAACCTCATCCGGCCGCGCGCACAGCGTCTCACCCGACGAAAAAGCTCTCACATGGTCAAGAAAGTGAGTACCTCGCGGAAAGCGGGGCATCGGCATCTAAGGTGTTTCATACAATCAGCAGGGGTGAGGGTTCCCACCAGTTCAAAGGCTCCACGTGCTTTTGTTGGACATAGCATGAAAAAGTCTATCAGGACTTCTGAGAACCGCCAGCTACTTCTATAGTTGTCCCTTTTTTTCAGGGTCTCGTGGAGGTCCCGGATTTTCACGGGGCTGAGCTGAGCTCTTTGGTGCCCTAGCTTTCGTCACCAAACGCCCTAGCTTTGGTCAAGTTTGGTTTTGACATCTGGCCTTTGGATGTGATGGAAGTATCATGAGACCATGTCGTAGTGAAATCAAAGGTGTAGCATGGCGTAGCGAAGCATGCTGCAAGACATGGGGGGATGCCTCTAAGCAGTCTTCAGGTACTCCTTTGTGCCACCAACACCAGATTTCCCATCGCTGGGTCTACGCGTCCTTCGTCAGATTTTGAATGTCCCATGCCCAGTCAAAGGACCAGAAGCTAACATCTCAATGCCCGGGAGTACCACATTTGATATTCCAACCGCCAACAGCTACGACCGGGCGCGTCTTCCGATCAGGATCCCGCTCATATCAGGGCAGAAACCGCAGGGGTGCCCAATATCCACTCACTTAGGGACCCTTAGGGACTAAAAACCATTCCTTTGGAACTGCTGATAGATGCTGCAGACAAAACCCCTCCACTGTGCTTCTTGACAGCTCGGCTCGGCTCATGCAAGCATAAAGAATGTGCATTTGAATATCCCATTGTGGAGCAACCTGGACATTGATCTTTTGGGGCGAGCATGGCAGAACATCGTCAGATCCACTGAAATCATTCAGGACAAAGCCGCAGACCTCTTTAAGCTGCATGTCCTCTAGACTCTAGCCACTTGCCAAGAGGATCCAGTCACCAGAGCAGGTGTTGAGTTGGATCAGATGAAACAAACTGAGCTCAGCTATTTAGATCAGGATCGAGTGGATTGAGCAGGTTTCAGGATCAGGTGTTAGAGTTTCCGTGCGTGGGTGCAACAAGCAACCCCCCCCTGGAGCCATGCGGTCCCGTGCGGGCAGTATGGACAGTACCGCGCGCAGCCTGGGGCCCCAGGGTCATACTACACAGACTGACCGTGACGCATAAAGGATGGCAAAGACTCGCCAGGCCTATGATGGATTGGGGCTGGGTCTGAGTCAGCTTCCTGTATTCTTTGTTGGCCTCAAAACACCCTTGCAAAGCCGGCGCTAATCTTGACGCCAATTCGTGGGACGAGCAACTGTAACTTGTGAAAAAGCACACCTTCCGACGTTCCGGCCTTTTCCGCTCCGCCCGCTCTTTCGCCGTCTTTCGCCGGCTTTTTCGATCGTCCGACAGCGAGGTTCGCGTCTTGCCACGGCGAGTTCGGCTCACGTCCGAAGCGAGCAACCAATGGGCCATCGAGAGAAAGGAAGCTTTCCATGGTTTTAAACGGGTTTGGCTTTTTTCCCGTTGTTCCATGCGTCCCCTCCTGGGGTCACCTGGGGGACCGCTTCACCACCCTGCCGGACCTCTTCACCACCCTGCCGAAGCGGAAAGCGCTGGTGTTCCGCTGCGTCCGACGCCCCGAGGCGGTTCCGCCACGAACGCCTTCCGCAGCACGGCGCCGGTGTTGCTGGGCCGGCTGAGGCCGGGGGGCTGTGAGGTCTGGGTGAACGTCCAAGAGAGAGCCAATTTCAGGCAGATGGAGACTCGGTGTACATTTCATGCAGTTTGGGTACTGTAGATCTGAAATACAGGAGACTTGGAGTAAAGATGAAGTGGAGATTCCCAATGAACGCCTCCAAGTTCCATCTCATTCTCCTCTCCCCCGAGGCCAAAGCAGCTTCTGGGCGATGTTCGTTCCGTGGAAGAGGCAGGGGGTCGGGGAAACCTCACCGTGGGCCGGGGAGAAGGGATGAAGATTCGTTGGGGTTCTCAGCACCCAGATGCTGTGACCAAGTACATCCTGAGGAGGGAGGATCTTACTACCTTTGGGTGGACACTTAGGATAATTTCCGGAGGGCCCAGGGCATCAATTGCGGGTAAGGGATCAAATATCGGCATCACACAAACATACCAAGGGATCCAAGGGGATCAAGCAGAAAAATAAATGGGATCACAAACATATTCCCAGTGCCCTTTCGTGGCAGGCACGACGTTTGTGAACCTCAATATGCAAATTTCGTGGTAGGCGCAGCCTTAATTGACCTCGATGGGTGCAAATTTTGTGGCAGGGCAGGTGTCACCCTGTTAATCTCAAAGTGTGGGTTTCGCGTCAAGCAACATATTTGGTGTATGCGCGCTCCTGTCAGGCGCAGACTTTGTGAATATCAAATTGCAGACTTCGTTCATGCAATGCAGCATAATAAGGAGAAGAAGAAGGAAACAAGAAAAGGGCAGTAGGGCGACGAAAGGACCTGGCAAGCAAAGAAGCCAGACAGTTATATAAAGGAACGGACCTATTCTATATTGCAGGGGCATACAGTGGGTTGACCTTCAGAGAATCAGCTTGTAGCAGGCAGACTTCGCTGTGCTTGTACAGCGCAGAAAAACCCGCAGTTGCCTCCCCTAGGGCGAAGCAAAAGACACAGGTGAAAACGATCCCAAACAGAACCCCTGGTTCAACGCCGGGATGAATCATCGGATGAGTCACACTCTTCGCCGGGATGAGTCCTTTTTCCTGCCTGGACACTTTTTCCCTGCTCGCCGGCTGGTGGTTGTTCTGATTTCAGAGGGAAGACCCTGGAGGAGAAGAGGGTCTTCTGCGCCTGCTCAGAGGTCTTCTGTCCTGTCTGTTCATGCCACCGGAGAACCAGTTAAACGGTACGATTAATGTTATTGTGTCGTGAGTTTTTAAGGCTTCTGATTGGAGTCCAGCTGTTCGGCATTTCTTGTTTGTTGCCACTGGTTTCTGGTCCAGTCCGAAAACAGGAGAAGCTTCATCCGACACCTACACCTGAGAAGTCTGGGAGCACGGAGGAGATGCGGGGGGGCTGCGTGTCCACGCACCAATCTCAGCATGAATCGTTTTTGTTGACCATGGGCCTTTGGCCCCAGAGAGTGGGCTCGTAGTATTTTCACAAGTCTCGTAGTATTATAACATATGGGCCTTCACTCGAGTGAATGAAACATGTCATGAACATTGCTACTGCAACAAGCACACAACGTCCAACGGGCGTTCATTTTCCACGGAGGCCCGCAGAATTTGCCCGCCGCATCCAGCCACGTAACTCATGGGGGGATGGTCTTTTGAACTTTGCATATGGCCGGCCGACGGTGATCTGTTCTGAAGATGCGGCCGCCGGCGCTGCGTGGAACTCCGTTAAACCACCTGTGGACCCAGGGACTGGGAGAAGATGCAATGAGGGCTCTTCTGGAGATGTTGGAAGTGTGAATAATTCACGCCACACACACACACACACGTACCGCGCGTGAAATGACGAGAAACGTCTGAAACTTCTTGGTGCTTTTCGCTGAGGCTTTCAAGAAGACCACCTGGGCTGAGAATTCCAAGGTGGGAGTCTTTCCCCTGCGCGCGCGCATGCCGTCTCTCCTGCAGGGCGCTAACGCGATCACTTGTAGAAAGGTACACCCTCAGTACACCTTTCAGAACTTTCAGAGCAGATCTGACCATTTCAGGCTACCCAACATGCCGCAGGCGCCCAGAAACCCGTCGGCCGCAGGCGCCTCGTGGGCGTTCCCGTGGAGCTGCCGACGCCGCGCACGGCGCTGTCCAGCCGCGCCACCTCGCGCGGCAGCGTGGGCAGCATGGAGTCGACCAGGTCAGGCCGGTGGCTCGGCGGTGGTCAGACGACCAGCGGGTTCGTGGGTGAGCGGCCCGGAGGTCCGGTGGCGGACAGCTCCAGCAGCTCCACTGCATCATGTCAGCCTATCCCCCAAAAAGAGTCTAGACTCTTTGGGAGGGTTCCTCGTGATGCCGCCATGCCTTGTGTGTTTGTCTTCGGTCCACAAAATGTTAGCCTAGGACACACACAGCTGGTCCGCTGCTGAACACCCTGAGTCCGAAGCAGCGCGGGTGTTGCCTGCTGGTGCACGGTCGACTGCCGATGTGTTTTCAACACGATGAATTGCAAAGCCGGAAGGCCGGAACACCCTCTATTCAACAAAGCTGGTTTTGATACATGCTCAACCTGTCCGGGAACGTTACGTTACGTTGTAGGAAGAACAAACGAAGACTCCAAAGGTTGGCGGTTTCCCTGTGTGGAATCCTCGGTTTTTGCTGCTTTGTGATAAGAGAGTTGAGTAAGTACTGATAGTACTGTAGATGTACTGTAAGTAGCACGCAGCACGTAACTAAACTACAGCTTTGTGGGACAAGCAGGGTGCACAGGGTTCGGGTTCCCCC